CTTGGTGCTGCGAATCGGAGGAGGAGCTTTGATCATCTATGCGATGGTGACATCCCCTGATCCTAGCTGGCTCCTCAAGGCTGGAGGCCTGGCCATGTACATTGTATCTTTGGGGTTCATGGTTGAAATCGGCCGCTTTGTCAGGAGGAAAATGTTGAAAAAATATCACTCCTGGACAAGCCTGAGGAGTACAAATGCACCTGTGAAAACTAACGGGCATTTGACAGCTCACTGATGGGTTGTGGATGATAATCCCTTGTGCTAGGGTCCTGGCTACTGATGGCTATTCCTGTGAAAAGAACTCCTAAAAGTGATGTGGAATTGACTTTCTGGCACTGGCAGTGGTCTGCTACCCCCGGAGGAGATGAATCGGCGCTAGGAACACAGGAAAGCTGACAGAAGGGGGGTTTGATTGGAAATTTGAGGAACCTGGCATGTCCACTGAACTCTGATTCTCCGACTTCGCCAGCAATGGTACAGTCTCAAGGAGGGCGGCAATGTCAGATCTATCAGTCTGCAACCAGTAATTGCACTGTCTGTATGTTCCGTAATCGTTTTGGAGGTAGAATTATTTTACTGCATAGAGCCAGAAAATCAAATCTGAAAAATCCCATCTTCCTGCCAGTGGGACTGGGTATGGGTGTGGCCTAACAAAGATTCACTGAGCCTTGCTCTGCCTTAATCCTGGAGTTGGACAACGCGCTTGACTAAGTACTTGGATGAAAGCCTCTGAACAAGGTTCAAGTGCTTGCAGGGGTATAGTGGAGTTGTCCTTTGAGTGTGTGAAGTGGTGGTACTTGAGGCGAGGCAATGTTTTACCTCATTGTTTTTAATGATACATTTCTTTTTTTATTTTTTAATACTTGCATTCAAGCAGATACTGATCTTAGAGCAGTGTGACTTCACTGGGATTGACTCAGGCCCTTGCCAACGAAAGTCGGGCACTAGACTTGTGCCAATAAACTCCACAAGCAGGTGTTCACCTAGCCTTGGATTGCTTTAAAAGTACATCAGACATTTTGTGGGTGAGAGATGATGGAGAAAAGCCCTCTCTGGATGTTTATTCTGTTCTGGGGTTGGCTCATTTACAAGCCACTTGAGCTGAATGCATGGCAAACAAGTCTAATAAGTGACTATGTTGTCAGGGGTGACAGTAGTGTTTAGGCAGATCTCAGTGTAACTTCTGCTCCATACCAGCAGGTCTCAGAGTATGGACCAGTTCTCTTGCGTTCTTTACCTCTCAGAATTGTGTTCTGACATTTCCCCTGGGCTTTTAATGTGAATTTTCCTCTATTTAAGGCTGCAGTTCAGACATACTCTCCCATAAAAGCCTTGCTTACAGCTGAGAAACAAATGGCCTTGTGTTGCCCTCAGGCTTAGCAAGGACAGTTGCCGTTCCTTCCTGCTTTCAAAGACCTTGTTTAGGAGAGCTTCATGGACTTAAAGAGCCCCTGAAACAGCCTGTGTGGCTCTTGCTGAAGTGAGCTGTCACCCCTGCTGCAGAGGTGAAGGAGGGGAGGTGGGAATGCAGCTGCCATGGGGATGCAGCCTTACTAGCTCCTCCATGCCTCTTATCTCACTAACTTTGGCACTGTTCAGGGCAGATATCTGCTTTGGCTGGGGGTTAGAATAAGGTGTCTTGAGAGATTAAAAATGACATGAAATAACCTAATTTTTTACATGCCCTCAGAATGCATTGCAGCTGTGAATCCAGGCAAGTTAGCACTCCTGATACCTTGCCAGCATGGCTCTTGGGGGCCTGGCCTCTTGCCAAAGTCACCGTGCTCTTCTGAAAATTCCTATGAGTGATGCGACTTCTAATAAAGTTATGTTCTCTTTTGAAAAAGTAACGATTGCTGTAATGTTCTTTTGTTCCAGCTCTTAAGGAGGCAACTGAAGTTAAGGAACTGAGGAAAACAGGCTTGAGGGTAGCCTAAGCGCGCCAAGGCTAGTAGTCACTGGCAAAGCTCTGGCTCATGCCCTTCAGGAAGGAGTGAGCTGGTGGGGAAACGAGCACAAACTGAGCCATGTGCTCTGGAGCTCAGGTGTGAAGCATAGATGAAGGTCAGCCGAAACTCAAATTTGTGACTAATGTACCCATAACCTGCCATGCCAATGGGTCATGTTGAGTATCACAGGGACGTTAAGAATGCAACATTAAACAGAGGTATTTGCTCTTGATCATTTCTGCATTGATGCATGCAAGGTCACAGGGTAACTGTTAAATTCTGGTTGTGGCCTACATTCCAGGTTGCCTTTTTCTGATCTGCAGCACCAATGCCTCTCTGTTGCTGCATTTCGTCCTAGGAATGACCAATTTGGAAGTCTTGGCTTGCAAGGTAGTTTGTCTACACCATCTTTGGAGAACCAGTTGAAAGCATGAGAACATCGTTGGTGGTGTGAGATGTCCTAAGCCCCTGCTGAGTGTCTGGTTCCTGCTGATGCTGGGGAAGGACTCTGCTGTCTGGATTGGAGGTGGGCCTGGGCTTGGCTTCCAACACAAAAACTCTCTCCCTTCAGCTGAGGGACAGTAACCCAGTGCACCCAGCCTGCCTGCCTGCAAAACAGAACTGATAGTAGTTACCCTGTGAGATTTGAAGCAAAGTAAATGCCCTCAGGTGGTGACGCACCACATCTCATCTAAGGATAGTTTCAGTGTTAGACCCTCTAGCCTGATGCTAGAAAGGCATCTGGCTGCACCCTCACTATCCCATTGAGCTTCTTATTTGCTAATGTTTCAAATAACGTAATTTTTAGTACAGATGCCTGACTTTTATTTGTCAAATATCCTTGAGGGCTTTTACAGTCACAAAAAGTGACCATCAGTCTTGGCCTATCCCCAGGGAAGGCTATTGGACTCTTGTCTATTTCCAGGTCTTGTCTATTTCCAGGTCTTGTCTATTTCCAGGTCTTGTCTATTTCCAGGTCTTGTCTATTTCCAGGTCATTTTTGGACAAGAAGTTTCCCAGTGTTGGCAAGCTAATACATTCTGTGGCCCTTCAGTGTTGTAAGCTCTCATTAGAACAGGTACAGAAAGATGAGAAGAAAGCATGTGCTGCTGAGGGAGGGTATAGCTGTACTAACATGGGTAGCAGTGTGCAAAGACCTGTTAGCAGAGGTTCCTGTCCTGAGCTGTTTTGCTGAATGCTGTTTGTCTGCAGGCAAACCGAGCCAGCGCAGCTCAGCCTGCCTATTTAAACGGCTGACTCTGCACAAAGCAAACAAGAAAATTAGTGTATAAGCTGCACCTAACTTCTGGTACAATCCACTGGGAGATGATTTAACTTGCCACCTTGCATCTCGCTAGATGCAAATTTTGCACATTGTATGATCTAGAACAAAAATACCCCAACCACAACTCCTTCTCTATATTCTGCCTTGGGTCTTAAATGGTCTTTGCCTTGCTAAGGCTTTCAGAGGGCTCTTCTGTGACCACCTCTGCTGCTCTTCCTGGCAGCTCAGTTTCTGTGCTAGGAGTCAACATTAACCCTATAGTTTTCTGTCTGTCAATGCTGTTCTGTATCCGAAGCGAAGTATTAGAGCAGCTCCATCTCGGTTGTTACTAAGGCTATTGGAGGGGGCTAGTGCCTGGCCCAGCAAAAGTGGATGAAAGTGAGATGAGACCCGAGGTTTGTCAGAGACACAAATGCACTAATAATGCTAGCGAGGATGTGCTGGTATAGCTGAAGAATGAGCATCTTGTAGCAAGAGAAACCTGTGCCTGGCCTGAACTGGAAAGGTAAGATGGAGAGCTATCCAGCTGAAAACAGGCTCATTACGCGTGCTGTAAGAAGCAGGACAAGACACTCCCACCATCTGTATTTCAAAAGCTAAAATTTGACAGGATGAAGGGAGAAAAACCCACCCTATTTCTGGGTGTGAGAGGTTGTTTTGATTGCAACTTACGAAAGGAGTAAGCGTGTTGGTTGGAGGAACGTTTCTGTAAACTGTTTCAGGTGTCCGACTCTGTGGACAGAGATGAGGAGAGGGAAAAGATGTGGTTTATCACTGAATGCCCGCAGTGGGAAGAAATTGCGAGGCTCTGTAACTGCAGCATGAGCATCGGATGAGGGTACGTTGGGGGCAGGGCTGCGTGCTTTCCCAGGCTGCTGAAGGCACGCTCTGCCTGGACGATAAACCCCGCGGGGTACCTTACCTTGGGGCTGCTGCTATACCGAGGTGCTTGTGCAGGCTCTGTAGAGCGTCGCTTTGCAGCGGGCGCTGCCTTGGCTGTGAGCAGAGCGAGCCCAGGTCTGCCCGCAGCCCTGAGACGGGTGGTGGGTGCGTGGGACTAAAATTTCCCGTGCCGGCAGGGGAAAGCCGCGCTCTGTGCCTGTGTGCCCGGCGGGAACACCGCCTGCCCCTCGCTCTGCCG